GCTGTCATTTTATGTGTCGTGCCTGAAAGCAATGGCAATTTCAGTCCAGTGACACCAAAAGGAGTTGCAGGAGTTGCATACGTCGTCATCAGAGCACACTGCCTCACTTTACAGGAGGTGCTTGCCAATAAAATTACGCTGGTTATCCGCTGGCTCCAGTCTTTGGCTGAGGAGCAAGCCTTTGCAGCGCTACGTGATACCAGTCTGCAAGCTCAGCAGTAACGTGGGCTCTTGCCAGTCCCTCTCTAGTAATCTAATCAGTGTCATTAAGGAAACCTTTTAAGAATGGAGATGCACGGTGACTGACTTGGTTTGTGTAGTTCCCCTGACATGCCCAGTGCTTCTTCAGGACGGAATTGGGCTCCACTTTTCATCGTGGTGTTCACACCAGCATGTCTTTCATGCCAGAAGCCCAGTGGGCTAGAGTTTTAGCCGCATTTTTCAAAGAGGGTTCCTGAGGCTTAGTGTTACCCATGAAACAGCAAACCAGAGCCGGTGAGACTGCACAGGTCTCTGTAGAGCTGTGCCTTGCCCCCACCCAAGCACGCTGTGGATGAGGACAACTTCAAGCACAACAACGCAAATGGTTTCTGCACACACCTCATTCTTTAGAAGGACGTGCGGCCGTGCCTCTTCTGCCTCCACCCACAAGAACTCCAAAAACCTTGAAAAGATCAGAGCAGTCAGCTGGGATTAGAGCAGAAAACCAGACTGTGGCCAGTGTAAGGCATGTTGGGGCAGGCGGATGCAAACAGCAGAGGTCTTCTGCCCATGCTCCAGGCTGGCACAGCAGGAGCCAGCTCTGCTCTGGAGGCAGCCCAGCACCACATTTAGGGCAGCCCAGAAGTGGGCAATGTAGTCCTGCATGAAAAGTCTTCTCTTTGGGGTGGGCTAAACGTGCATTCATGTGTGGGGCCAGCTGGGTGCCAGGGCAGGGCAGCTCGAGTCTGTCTGTGCTTGCCCACCACAAGGGCACCCTCCTCTGCTCTGAAATCCAGGAATCTGCATGGAGGAGTGAGGAGCACAGCTCTTCTGTGGGGCTGCCAATTCCGTGGGGCTCATGGCTGGGTGACTGCTGGAAAGGTGTGGGCAGGAGGGGGTGTGCGGTGCCAGGAGAAGAGCTGGAGATGCTCGGTCCTTCGCAGGTCCTGTTCTTCAGACCGCTCCTCCCAAACTCCCGAGCAGGCTCCTGGTTCAGTGGAACTGCCCAAACCATCCCTGAAGGCATGGGTGGCTGCTCCCCTTGCTGGACCTACTGGTAGGCCAGGAGAGGCTGTTTTGGCACCGCATGACAGGAGCCACAGATGCCACCGAGCAGCGCCCTGCTCCAGACAGGCCCGTCCTGCTGTACCCAGCACCCATCTGAAGAAAAGCCTGCCCCGGTTTCATCCTGGCCCAAATTTGTGTTGCTGCAGCTTCCAGCTTCTGAGCCTCCTTTACGCCTTTTGTAAGGCTCTGAAGTGGCAAAGTAAACTCATATCTTCAGACATGGTGCTGGCAAAAACCACACACTTTGAACACGGCCTTGCCCTTCATGACACACTGAGCAGGCCTTGGACGAGGCGCCCCCGAAGCGTGGCCTAGGCAGGAACACGCTCGGCCCACCTGATGGGGTTTGTCTGTGATGTGCCCCAGGAATCCCAGCCTTGATTGGGGACTCTGGTAGGCAGACCAGGAGTTGAAGCTGAGAAGGAGAAGATTAATTCATGTGAAATAAGCCTGGGTTGGAGGAGGAGGCCGTGCTGGTGCTATAACCTCTGATTTCACAGGCGCGGGCGCTTCGGCGGTGTCCCCTCAGCACCACAGCTGCCTCCTCTGTACCCCAGAGCCGCGGCACAGCCACCAAGCAAGCCTGGGGTGGTTCAAGGGAACATTTAGCAGGCTCATTTTTGAGAAGGAGGCATTTTGGAGTCTCCTTTGGAGCTATTCAAGGCCTGTATGAATGCCTACCTGGGCAGCCTGCTCTAGGGAACCTGCTTTGGCAGGGGGCTGGACCTGATGATCTCTGGAGGTCCCTTCCAACCCTACAGTTCTGCGATCCTGTGATTTCTGAATACCTTTAAAATTGACGATGCCACTAGGTTTTTGTTTTTTTTCCCCTGGTTGTTAATTAAAACCTGTCTCAGACAGAAGCACTTTTTAGCCAGTGACTCGAAGGAGGAATTCACCTTTCCTTCAGAAGTCGCTGGAAGTGAGCCTGCACAAAGGAAGCACAGCCGTCCTCTCAGGAAGGCTTTCATCTCTTCATGAAATGCATTAATAACTTTTTTTTTTTTTTTTTTCCCACCCATAATAACATGTGTCAAATGTCTAATAAACAGCGCCCTTCTCCTCTGATGCTCAGTAATCAGCCGCATGGCACATACACAAGTGAAGATTAGAGATGAGGCTGGGCTGGAGCTCTGCACCATGATTACAGCACAGGAGTCTGAGCAAGCTGGCAAGAGGCTGGGACTGCTCCTCCTCGCATGCTAGGAAATGGGGATTTTCATAATTTTGCTTCCGTGGCTACCATTTCATCCAAAATATAAAGGGATTTTTGGTTGAAGACCTGTAATTATTTAGGAGCTGCTTATGTTTACGCGTTACCTAACAATACTCTGAAGCACGTTATGAAAAGCAGTTGCATGCTTTTGATGAGCCCTTGCTAGGATTAGGAGAGGATTGGTTGTGCTTCATGAGGATGAGCTCCACAGCTTTTATAACACCCTGGCATCGCACGCAGAAACTGATACTGGGAAGAGTTTGCTTGGTGCAAGGATGTCTTATTATGAGCAGGCACCTCACAAAGCTTTCTCACCTCTGGCTGTTGCATTTGTTGCCTCCTGCACTGGCTCAAAACAAGGCAAGAGCAGGGGATGGAAAGTGGGCAGGAAGGGTGAGCAGGGAAAACTCAGTGAAACCCATGTAATAAAGAGAGAGATCTCCAAATCCTCCGGCACGGAAACACAGCAGCTGAGAGAGAGGTCTCTAATAAACCCGATGTATTTATGGCACTGCATGGCTATAGATGAGGAGAAAAACAGTTTGAGATAAAAAGAGAAGATATTGGAGGATTAGTGAATGTGATTATTTTTTGTTATTTCAATGTCAAATAGGTCAGATTTGTGTGAAAATTATAGTGAAAATGATTTCTGTTTCCAAAGACCCAAATTTTTAGCAAAATCATTATGAATCTGATCTACTTGAAATCTGGCTCTACAACGGAGCAAATATAAAACTTCATTTCAAAGACATTTCTATCTAACTAAACTTTGCTATTTTTACATATTTTTTTATTTTTTTTTTTTACAATTTTCATACTAAAATCAAACAATAAATAAGTGTTTTTGTCTCTCTTGATACCTGTGTTATCCTACAAATGCTGACAGGGCCAGCCTGTCCCTGTATGTTTGATGGCAGCAGATATGTGGCATCTCCATCTTTTCCAAATCCCTTCTCCTCCAGTTTAGGATTATTTAATGAACAGACACCAAGAAACCTACCTAAAGTAGGTTTAATTATTCCCTTTATCCCCTGTAAAAACAGAGAAAATAAGGAGGAAAAAAAAAAGCAAAAGAAAACAAAACAAATCACAAAGCAATCAACACCCAACCTCCCAGGCAATTAAGCAACATTTTTAGTTTGCAAATGACTTCTCACTTTAGAAGAGTAAACTTCTGAAAGATGTTAAAAAGCCTTGTTTTTACTATTTTTTTAATTTTGATGCTAAGAAGTTGAAGCTGCAACATAAAATTATCCAACAGAGAAAATTCTTCAGGGACTTTTCTCCCTCCACCTTCTCTCACTTCAGACTCTTCTTCGTGACAAGTTTAGCGACACGGTGGAGACTTACACTCAAAAACTTACACTCAAATACGGACCTCAGCATAACGAAAAGTCCTGCTGGCTTTTGGAGTCCCAGATCTTGCTGTGCTTCAGCATCCTGTGCTCCTGACCGTGTGTCCTCCCCATCCCTGACCATGCCAGCGTTTGCAAACTCCAAGGTAGTCCAGTGCTTTCCTCTTCTCCTTCCCTAATGCCAGGCTCTGCCCTCGCTTGCCTGTTTAACCTGGAGCCCGCAGCTCTGTGCTTGGCTTTTGTGGCTCCGAATCTTCTCTCCTGGTGATTTTCAATCACGTCAAGGCACAGTCTGCTCCCTGAGCCTCAGCCTGCACCAGGGCATTGCAATCCCAGGGGATTTCGCCAAGCTCTTCCCTTGGGTTCCCTTGGCCTGGTTTTTCCCAGACCTCCTCCCAGTCTGGTTTCTTACCAGGGACTCAGCCCGGGGCCCGGCTGGCTCCTCAGCCCCAGATCGGCCACCGGCCACAATCTCTCTCTTTCCTTTTTAATTGCTCTCTTTAAAAACAGATTCTTCGTGCAGACCAAACTTGTGCTGGGTGAGTGCAGTGTTTCTTACACTTTGCTGCTGCCCTGTCATAGACGGCCTCGTTTACATGGGGTTAAAGGCACTAATTTCAAATGCACAAAGCAGGTGCCGCAGAATGAGCCCCAATCAGAAGTTAGGCCCTGTGAGGTGTTCTTCCAGATATTCCCCACTGACCAGAAATTTTCAGCTGTACCAAGCCTTTGAACACCTCTACTCAGCCAGCACATGGCGCCAGCTCTCTGCTGGCCTGGCCACGAAGCGGGGATGCTCTCCAAGGAACAAAACCCAACACGTCTTCCAAAAAACCATGAAAGCCACGTGCAGCATCACCTCCCACCGCAGTCCAGCTTGTCTCCTTGTGCTGTGATGAGCCCTAGTGTGGTCCTACAACCCCCCAGAACCCCAAAATGTGCATTTCTCATGGCTCACGCCCTGGACTTTGCTCTGTCAGTGCTCTCTGACTTGGCTGGACCCAAGCCAGCTCGTGGGTGGACACAACACCTACCCCTGGCTTCCCAACCCTGTCACAGGAATGAGGCACGGGAAGGGGTCCCCAGAGCACACTGGCACAGCTCTCACACGGGTCTCAGCTGCTCTGTGCACGATTCGTAAGGTAAACTGCAAAGGCAAAGTAAATGCAACTTGTTTTATTTGAAGTTGGAATAAATTACAACTGGAAAGCATAATTTATTGCTTTATAAATTGTCTGCTCTCAAAAAGGCATTAATATCAAACAGAAACGAAACAAAGACACATTCGATTAGCAGTTCAGTTCTCTCAAGCTGTATGAACGACTCAGTAGGGTGATTTCACTCCGTATACGACTGAAATCTGATCATAGGCTCATAAACTTGGCTTTGACATGCATTATGACGATTCTGACATACTGAGGGGCCTGTGGACGTGTTTGTTCATTTGCTTTAGGATATCATTTTTATTGCAATTTTCCCTAAACGTACACCATCGAATACCCAGTCCTTCATTCCTCACTTAAACACAGATCCCACTGGTTTTAAAAAAAATCCTTTCACGATTCTTATGTTTTTTGACTCCTGCAAAAGGAGGGCTTCCAAATCTAAAACACAAAATAGTCTGGTCCCAAAACTAAGAGAAAAACAAACTTTTCCTAGGTTAAAATACTGTAATCCCACGCACAGAAAATGCTTGCTTCCATTTTGAAGACTCTAGAAAAAAAATAAATCCCAGCATTATCTGCACGAGCTGATGTGGTTATTTACTATTTTTATTGTATGGTTACTCTGTGATTGAGACTGGTGTGAGTTTTGCTCAACGCCTTACTTCTTCAGGATGCAGACCCAGCCAAGCCCAGTCTGCCCTGAGTGCTGGGGCATGAGAGGCTGCCCTGGGAGGCTGCACACACCCAGCACTACACCACGTCCATACTGAGAGTGGGATCTGCCTAGCTCCTGCTAGATGCACCATTTAGGAGAGCCACAACGTTGCCTCCTTGGCTTCCCAGGGAGCCACAGCTCCTGGAAGCCAGAAAGAGAATGGACACTGATGGCTAACTCTCCTTGTACCAAGAAAAAGGATTCCACCGAGGCATCCTGCCCTGCTCCGGCCCTCTCTGGGAGCACTGCAACAGCCCCGTGCTCCCTCGATGCTGGCTGCAGAAGAGCATCAACCTGAGCAATTCCCCAAGCAGGGAGCCTGCACCTCTGCTCTTGCTTCCGTTTGCCATGTCCAAAGCAGCACAAAGTGAGCTGCCCTCGATCACGCCAGAGGCAAAACTCTCTAGAAACGGAACCAGAGGCTCCTGTCTCAGTCGGCATTTGGAACAAGCCAGACGTTTGCAGAGCAAATCTCCAGGGCAGCTTCTCTTCAAACCATGAAACTGACTTTAAGAAGAATGAATCACCGGCACGGAAAATCCTTCTAAAACTGGCTTGGTATTACTCAGGCAAATCCTATTTAGGGAAGGGTTTTATTTTCCTATCCGCACTCTCATGCTCTTTTCATGCCTGCAAACAGCAGAGCGGGACGCTGGGTTATTTTACACCCTATTACTGAATGGGGACAGCCAAGTCTATCACTGGATCCAAAAAACACATAGCAAACTCAAAGAAAAATACTATCACATTGATTCTAGTGCAATTCCAGTTTCCATTAAAATTTCATCAGTCATGATGTACATTTTATGCAGAACTTCATTAAAAAACAAACACCACCACCAACAAAAACTGTCTCCTTCTAAGCAGTGCCCTCAGAAGTTTTTTTTTGTTTGTTTTTGTTGGGCCAGAACAGATGGCAGCTGGATCTCTGCGAGGCGATAAAGCAGATTTTTGGGTGCTGTGCTCACCAGTAACAGCTCCCAACCAGTCAAGTGCCGTGGTGCTGAGCTTCAGTGGGAGGCTGGGAGCTGTAACTGGGAGCTACGCCCAACTGGGCCGATCGTTCGGTGCCCCTCAGTGTCCTCCTCATTCGGGGACGGGACAACCCTGCTTTAGCTCCCAGCCACACAGTAAAGTGCATAACAGTCGTTCCCCTTCCTCCACCTCAGCTCCTGCTTCGGGAGGACCTTGTGGAGAAGTGGTTTTGTGGCCGGGTTGTGCTAGCACAAAGGTATGCACAAAGGCAAGGGCAGGCACACGGCGCACACCTGATGCGAGAAACATAACTCAGAAACACGCAGAGCTTAAAATCATCAGTCATCTCCTTCATGAACAGATTCTTGGCTGACTTCTTCTTTCCTCAGCAGTTACAAATTTGTCTTTGAAGATGAGAGGGCGGAAAGCTAGCCTTCAGGGGGAGGGACAAGCAGAGACACTCGCAGATTAAAACGCACGCACAAGTCATCCACCACACCGCTGACCTGTGCTTTGTGCTTCACCTGTACTTTGCAGCACAACACCTTATTATTTGAACCTTAATTCCTCATCCCTTTCAGAGGTTCCCAGGAGCACTCCTTTCCGTGTCAGTGAGATGTCCTAGGGCACTCTGCAGAGAAAACTAATGAGAGCTGTCACCAGAACAAGTACAGGGTTGCATTCAAGCCACAGACTCCGGAGCAGCAGGACAGGGACCAGACTTATTCCAGGTTCTGGTGCAAGAGCCACAGGGGAACAGCCAAAGCAGCAAGTCTAGCACGCACAGTGAGAAGGAAGACAGCCTACTCTGAGATGTGGCTCCTGCTCTCCTATCTTCATTTCTAGTTCACTGGGTTTGGCCTCCAGCAAGGCACTCAGGCCAGCTCTGAGGTCTCAGGGAGTTTCAGTTCAGAGCCCTTCCGACTGACTGGGGACACCGCAGTAGCTGGCACAACCTGGGAGCAAACCTGGAAGCAGAGCTGTAACCGCTGTGCTCTCTTGCTTGCCCACAGGGAGCACGGTGCTCACCCACTCTAACAAAACATGGCAGGCAGCAATTAGTGGTTATAAAATGTTCTAGCTTTTCACAGCCCTTTGTAAGTGCCTGAGAATTCAGTGTAGGGTTAGAAACCACCGTTCTCTCCTGCAGTTCTTCCATCACAAAGTGTCTCAGTGTCTACGCTGCGATTTTACCAATGGAGAAGCTGGGTCAGAGTTCCAGTGGCTGGATCAGGCCCCTGAAGCAGATGAAAGACTTAGACAAGCCAAACAAAGTCTCCTGATGCCAGGCTCAGTGCTACATCCCCTCCCCGAGAGGTTATGAACAGAATACAAATAATTCCCCAAAAGATCTGATGCATCACCAAGGGCAAAGAGCCTCCGAAGCTGTGCGCAACAGCATCAAATACAGCACCTGTATGTTACATATTCAGCTCCATCCCTCTTTCCCTTGTCACAAGGGCAGTCGGTTGCTCAGACAATCACCTTCTGGTCAGCCTCTTACGTTATTTCCTACGGAAACGCGGGTAAAGGTGTGTATGCGACTCAGTAGTAGAACAGGAGTTTTGTTTTACACGGGCTGAAAGAATGCTTCTTATACCCAAGTGAGACTTTAGCATGCACTCACCCAGAAGCTGCCTCTGCCGTGCTCCATGCCTGAGCTTCATGCCAGGTTCGCCCTGCATAGCAGGCATATCATACGCACACAGTGACCTGGTACAAGAGCACATTCTGCAGGCCAGGTCCCAGGCCAAAACTCACCTACAAGACCTAAGAGTGTTGGTAGCTCTTTGCAGTGAATTGAGCTTTCACTAGGAATTAACATAAGCTGCAAGGACTAATCTCATACTCTGTGCACTTGCTTATTTTCTTTTCACAGTTCCACCACGTTCTTCCTTAATACTAAAATGCTGAAGTCTTACGTAGCATTCAGAGCATTATTTTTTGCTGGCTGTGTTTCTCTATGCTCTAAGCCTCTAGCACAATGCATGCAAAGGATAATGTCTGAACTTGTAATGCTTTTAACTAAAAAAATACTTTTAAAAACATAAAACATAAATTATTTATTCCTCTTTGTCCATTTTTTTAAGCACTGAGTCTTCTCCCAGCATTTTACACAGTTCGTTCAGTCTCTGCTGCATTTTGGGAATTCCTGCAAGCTGGGACTCCAGTCTCTGTTTCTCCTCACTCAGCGACAGACGGACGGCCGTGTTCAGCTGCTCAAAGCGCCAGCCCCCTTGTCCATCAAACTGCAGCAAGTGACTGTGGTACTTCCTGCGTCAGAAATCAGAACATCAGTAATTTTGCACACACGTTTTTGCACGCAGTCTGGGTGTCTGTGTCTGTTTTCAGTGGCGTTTCTCAGGAAGATGACTGTTGTCCAGTCCTGGATCACTGGTAAGACTTTCACAAGCTTTTCAGTGACTCATAAACCCAGGGCGCTCTCCTGTGAGGGGTCTGGGTATTTCAAAGCCTGTCACCAGGACTTCCCTAGGCCTTCACCTCCAGTGACATTACAGATATCTGATCGTAACCCCTGACCAACACTCCTCCCAGCTGCAATCTGTTGCACACACAAATAATACCTTCTCTTCAGTGTGCCCCAGTTAATTTTATTTACTTAACTTTCCAAGAGATGTTACGCTGCTTTAGCTGAAAATGCATTCAGGCACGATGCACCTGATGCTACTGATAAAAGCAGCTTGTTCAAATTACACCCCAGTTTGTTCCCCTTCATTTTATAAGGTTGGGTAAATAAACCTCCAGTCCTAAAATACTGCAAGGAGCCAAACTAAAGTCTGTGTAAGAGTCACAGATCTTTTGTGTGTCAGGGTGTGTGCACTAAAAATATTCAAAGGTGTACGTGTGTGAGGAGTTTGCCAAGACCTGACAGGACATTTATCAGGAGGTGCAAGAGTTCCCTGAGAGCTGCTGTTATGGCAGTGTAATTTATCACTATAAATTATAGAAGATGAAACACGTCACAAAACAGTGATTAGAAATTCCATCCGGGGAATGTGACAGTTTAATAAACTCAATAGCTTATGACATGAGGCTCAAAAGAGAGGCTTACATTCACCACTTCTTTCATATTATTCTTTGTGACACAAAATGCTTAAACCGTCCCTCTATTTTTTCACCCATAAAAAATAAAATAAAATAAAATCAGGAAGCTAAGATAGATGACTGAGACATCTAATTGCTGTGGTATAGGAAGGTAGCCAGTATTTTGAATAAAAGAGCAAACAGTTCCTGGTATAATCTTAAGGAGAAAGCAGCATGTGGCCCTGATCTTTGTCTATACAGTGCAGTCCCTATGGAAGCATACCTGATGAAAGGCATTTGATGTTTATTTCTGAATACTCAGCACTTGTTTTTTACTTCTCCAGAACAAAGCCATTACATCCCATCTATCCACCTGCTTTTATCAATTCTTGATCCCCATAAATTCCCCATAAATTACCAGATTTCTGATAATTTCATTAATACTGTGAAGGATACAAACCTTCCTGAACAGCATTAATACTAGAAAACAAGAAATGTCCGTGGAAAACTGAACTCAAAGGTCTTTCTCACAAGCTCTTTTGCAGAATTTCCCTCTGCATCATCACTATTTGTAGGTGCGATACGCTTAAATACCAATATTCTTGAGCAGTGGTTTGAAATAACGCCAACTTCAAAAAATTTTAAATTAAAAAACCTTTTATTTTTAAGTATAGTTTAAATCATTTTAAAAATAAGTGTCTATATGATTTTATTTTTCCTATCAGAACACCGATTTTTTCTTAAAATTCAGGTTCTGACCCAATTTTGTCATCAGCTTAAAAAAGCAAACAACCTGACTCTAGTAGAGACCAAGGACTTCAGAACAAATAGTCTCTGCTAATGTCAGCTGACACCATCTTATCTCCTTTTGCCCTTTAAGTATTTGGTTGTTTTATGTATTCACTAACTGTATTTATTTCCTTTGAGGGACAAAATTCCCTCATAATTAGCATCACCTCACTAGAATGATTTTTCTCAGAATTCTAGTGTTTGTTGTTTGTTTTTTTTTTAACTAGACAATCAAACTTTGAAAGCTCATGGGCCCTACAGATACAGGACATGACGGAAGTTATGTCATATTTTTGACACAGTTTTTATATGACATAGTTTTAATATGGATGCATCGATTCCTGTGAAAGAACAAAGTGTAGGTGTTTCACTTGCCATGTTCCCCATCTTCTCCCAAGCATTCCCCCAGACAGCTCATGGATCTCATCATCTTTATAGAATAATCTGATGAGAGGTATTGTGGCTGTGGTGTAGTAATTAATTGCCCCTTAGCTACCTGCATGTTGCTATTTATAGTTAATAACTGCCACACGTTTAAAAAAAATGAGAGGGAGGAATAAGTATGTGTCAAAGAATGAAATAAATCAATGTTAAATGCATTTACATTGCTATTATTTTAGACAGGTTATCTTAAAAAGTGCAGTAGCTATTGATTAAACAACTGTCCTAGTTCATAGAACAAAGGCCAATCTACGTCTGCAGAAGGCTAAAAGCAAGGACCATGACAAATTCCTGGAGATACTTACCAAAGAGAAGGTCTGTGTGTTATAGAAAGCAGGGATATCCCAGCGGCTTTCGCAGCTTGGAATATTTTTCCTTCAACATCAATGCTTACCGCGCTTGTGCATTCATCCAGCAGTGCATATTTTGGCCTTGCAAAAGTAAATAAAGAATGTAAGTCATCTACGTTTTGGACAATATTCCCACATACGATGTTTAATTCAGAGGACAAGAAGAAGCAGAGAGCTGTTTTTTACAAGCCAGCTGCCCCTCATTTGCAGCTGCAAGCTGCCTAGCACCAACTCCAAGTTCCCAAGCATTTTTTAGGTGCAGACGTGGCTTCCAGGAAAAATGGGTTTTATTTCCTGGTCCCTGTGAGCACACAGTGATCTAACTGCTGTGCCCCAGTTTGACCTGGTGTTATTTTGTTCTGTCAACAAGGCATGCTGTAACTACAGGCAACTCAGAAAGTTTCTGTTCACTGCTGGGTATGGACTGGGCCGCCTCTGCAGGGTTTGCAGTCTCCAAAATTAAAAAAAAACAATGTGGAGCTTGGCTTTCCAACTCCCGTAGCCTCTAAAGCAGTCATCAGACTGCTGCAATATTTGTAGGACAGATGTTGGGAAGGCATTTGTGCCCGATTAGATGCAGAAAAGAACATGCAGAAAATGTAACGCTACATTTCCAAAAGCAAATCTTAATTAAGAAGCATTGCCCAAACTAAAAGCAGAGCTTATATGAATAAATGACAAGGTCTGCAGCCCTACGCAGCAGTCTAGCAGTAGGGCACATTGCATGGAGATCTCCATCTACTACTGCTCAAACTATTGCAGCAAACCTCCAAAACTCTTCCTCGTTTTCAAATATTATTTAAATAACAAACCCAAATGCTTACTTATGATAAAACATGCGAGCCATGCCCATCCTTTGTTTTTCTCCTCCTGATAAGACATCTTTCCAGTCCATGATGGCATCCCAGCCTTACAAAAAATGCAAACAAAACATGTCAGGACAACGTGAGCTGATGAAGGAAATACACCTTTACTTGCAACATCTCTGCAATCCCCAACCAAAATCATAAAGAGCACTTCCATTGCAGGAGAGACCTTCTGGATTCTGGATCACTTCACAAATACTTCAGTGCCTTTCCACCGGCACTCGGAAAAATGTTACAAATACTATGCCAACTTTGAAAGAGGAATTTAACTTTCTCCATCGTATGTTTACTGTCAAAAAACTCCACTTACCATCTCTGTGAAGAAACATCTCTGACCTGTGTGTAACTAACCATTTCTCTGTCATGTTTGTTTTATGGAACCATTTGCTATACCTCCTTGAAAGGAAAGCGGATGTGAGTGGAAATTTAAAAACAAGTTCAGCATGGAGAGAGAAAAAAAATCCATAAACAGCAGCATCAGATGACAATGTTTAGTGCCTGACTCCTCTCACTGCTGTGAGTCAGCAAACTCGAGAGAAGCACAGATGCAGACCCAGGGCTGCATTCTGTGTGCCCAGACAAGCAGCTAATGCACAAACCCGTGCATGCAGACAGGAGGCTTTTACATACAAACTTCCTGCTACCTTGTATTTAGAAGTGACTCACAGCCGTATAGCACTGGGTGTTATTATTTAATATTCTGCAGGCCTCCAGCTGACTTTTATCTTATCACTGTCAGCTGCATGCAGCAGGATGGGGATGTGTTGCTGTATCTGCAGTCTTACTGGGGGCTTGTGAATTATAAAGTAGTGTCAAGATTTTTTTATAACCATGTACATAGATTTAAAAAGCACACGTGTGCATCAGAAATACGTCACCTTTACCGATCCTACAGTGTCTCCTTAGTTTCCCTTCATTCTTGCTTAAGGATCCCAGTGCTTCCCAGCAGCTGGCTCCCAGCAGAGGGGGAGCTGTGTAATGCTCAACTGGATCGCCACCCAGATTAGCTCTGGGACAGGGGACAGATGCACACAAGCTGTTTCTGATGATCAGTCCCAGCACTGGGACCACGCAGAAATAAAGCTGCAGCGCTGCCCCACCAACACCTTTGGCTTCCCCAAAAGATTACAAAATGCCTGGAGCCCTCACGAAAGCCACAGAAACAGCTACACTTCTGAAGGTGACATGCGAACTGCTGTTTATGTTTGCTGATGTTAAAGCTGAGAATATCGATGATCTCTAGGGCTGAGTTGTGATGGGAGCTCTGCATCTGAGCTAGGGTGTGGGTGGGTGTGCTCGTGTGCCCATGGAAGCGGCGCCTGTGCTCAGATCAGCTGCTTTATGAGTAATGGACAGAGAGAGAAGGAGGTTCATGAAAGGGCTGCAAAATGGGAAGGAAATCATAAAATCACGGAAGCATTAAGGTTGGAAAGGCCCTCCAAGATCCTCTGGTCCAACCATCACCCTGCTGCCAATGTCTCCCACTAAACCACGTCCCGAAGCCAGCAAACTCATTCTCTGATTTTCCTGAAGGGGTAAGATCTAGCCTCAGCTCACCAGGATACAGCATTTCTGGGGTCACTTCAACTTATATTCTGACTTAATATTAGCATCTTGCCTCCTGCTACCTCGCTCCCTCCCTCAACTTCCCTGCTCACCCCTTGGAACGTCTTAAACAATAGACAAGGAAGGATCCACTTTCACATCATCCCTTTGCCATTTCAAAAATTATTTTCTAATGTCTGAGCTATTTCCTCTGAACACTTAAGGCAATCTCACTCCCAATAAACTAACTTCCTACTGTGCATTAACCATAATGCATCTGCTTGTTTCTCTTTCCTTGCTGCTGGCATGGAGCAGGTCACGAAAGGACCTTAGTGTTCCAAAACCATCAGCCAAGTCAGGGGCTTTCAGCACCTACAGCTACAGCCATTTTACAAATAAAGAGAAGAAATGGCTTGTCCATGATCGCAGCACAAAACTCTCAGAGGTACCAGCATAATCCTGGCTTTCAGAGCCCAAATTCCTCACCAGGCTCCTTGGTACACACAGCCTTTGACTGCACATGATACGATGCAGATGCGGTGAACAATAGATGCCACAGAAACGCCTTCTGCAGCCAGGAAGACAAATAACACACGCAGTGTGCTGGGGCTGAGTACTGGTGACAGAAACACACACAGCTGTCAGTAGAAATTAGCGATAGCCTCATGACAGCAGCAGCTTGTTTTCTTGCAGGGTTTCTTTTACAATTCTTTTTCCTAAGTTTTCTGAAGGAAAAACAAACAAAAAAAAGCTAAATTTGACTTTAAAAAAAGGATTACATCTGGGGTCTGTAGCGCTATGCATCCTGCATCCTTGTCCATCCTTGCACTTACATGCCAGACAAAATCCGGATGCCAAAAAAAAAGGAAGAAGTTATAAAGCTCCTTTTCCCAATTTATCATTTTCCAATGCAGCTCATCAGACATGGGCTGGAGGATGGTAGCAAGACAGGAGAGAGGCCACAGCAGCAAACTACAGCCAGGGAGCCCACTTCTGCCTGTCTGAATTTAAGAAGAGATTGGACTGTGCACTTAGTCACATGGTCTGAACTTTTGGGTAGACCTGTGTGGTGTCAAGAGTTGGACTTGATGATCCTTAAGGGTCCCTTCCAACTCAGGATATTCTATGATTCTATGATTCTGATGAACAAAGAGACGATCAATGGCATGAGGCCCAGCTCAGCGTGGCACTGCAGGGATTTGTGGCTCTTTCAGAGCCACTGGAAAAGCCAGCAGAGCACGCCAGAGTTGCTGTCCGTGGCATTAACAAAAGCAAATCCAGGGCTGAAATGATCAGATGGAAAAATCTCAGCGAGAGGAAATGTGCTTGTCGGTGTGCTTATATGTGGCTTAGCATAATGGCTCCCTGGACAAGACCCAGAGAAATGACAAATGTGCAAAATAATGAGGAATAATTATAATCCGGGGTGCTGAGAAACCATAAACAGGTCGAACCCGTTCAGTAATGTCATCAGCCCTGAGCGGGCAGGCCTGGTCCTGCATCCAGCAAGCTGCTACACGCACTCACGGCTTCCCCCATGTGACAGGCTGCCATGAGCCTATGGCTCCAATGCTGTTGACACTTGCTAAATAAATATATGCAGATTTTCACAGCAGGTCAAAAAAGATATTTTATGGATACCTACTGTACATCTCCGTAGTATTCTTCAGACTTCTGGATGTGCCTTTTCTTCACCCATGCTGCATATAACCTTGTTTTCCTCATTTTGCTAGCAACTTTGCAGGTATTGATGGGGCACCTTACTGAATGCATTACTGAATGGCATTAATATCATGCACGCAAGTTTCTTTGGGATGACTCACTGCACCGATTACAATACAAGGTAATCTTAAATCATCAGCATCACTCTGCTCAAGCTTCTGCCAAGTTTTCTAGTATTTTACATGAGGACAAAGTTAAGAGTGCAGACAGGCTGGAGGGCAAAGGTAGGCAGGGGAATGGCATTCCTCTAAACGCCACTGTGGGATTCTGCAGGAAGGGCATCCTGGCCCCTGCTGCAAGGGGGGCTGCTGCCACGGGAATTGCACCAGATTTATGTAGGGCTTGGGCTCAGCAACGTCAGGAGTGGTGCTGCTGTGGGGGTGGCACTGTCAGTGGGGTTTTTGCTTGGTTTGGTTTTAGTATATTCAGCTGCTACAGATTAAAAAAGGTTTCATAAGGGTAACACTGAAGATAAATGCCAAATTGGCCTCTTTATTCTTCTGACTATTCTACTTCTAATTGGGTCAAGCCTTATTGCTGCAAAAAAATGGGAATTTATGCCATTGGCAGCGAGAATAATATCAGGCTTTTTTTTTTGGCTATTTTACCCTTGGATTTTGGTGACCCTTCAACTGATGCAATGTGCAAATAACTCAGCCAAAGACAATGAAGTCACTCCAGGACAAACACATTCAGAGCCAGAGCTGTGTAATGCTGGCTCCATCTGCCTTTTCCTAACTGCCCACAGGGAGCAGACTTGCACAAAACTGTACAGCGTGGTATTATATGTGTGTGGCATTCGTGGTCAATTAAAGCAATGGGGCCATGCCCTGCGGACCTACTGTCTGGTAGAGGCACAGCACTGCAGGGGATAGGTGAAAGGGAAAGAGACAGAAAGGCTACGGAGGTGAAGAGGATCTAAAGAAAAAGGATTGAGGAATTATGTTTTGTTTCTGTAACTAGATGGTTGATAGACAGCTCCGTTCTTGGATCAGTTTACGGAAACTGGTTGAAAACAGCATTGATGTATTGCATATATACCCAAGAATACGGATAACTAAAATTGGTTTTGTTGCTGGCTTTTTTTTTTTTCTTTCTTCCAGATGCTGCACATTCACAAAATGTGCACAATACATAAACAGAAACTCACTGGGAATTTTTCAGCAAAACTTTTTCCTATTGGGAAGCATTGTTTTTTGTCAACCATCAAAGCAGTTTGCCAAAAAAAAAAAAAAGAGAGAGAAAGACGATTTGGGGTAAATCCTTTGTTCTGCAAGCTTTACATAGGACTTTTCATTATTTTGCAAACAAAACATTCAATTTCTAATAGAAATAATTTTAGTTTAAAAATCTAATTTTAAGTAAAAGACGGAAATAAAAAAATAATTAAAATAAAATATTCAGCTCTGTATAAACAAAAAAAAAAAATCAATTGTTTACTCTCAAGAAAAGTTTCTCTGGCTTGCTAGTTCAAAACCCTGAATACAAGCCTTTGACCCAGACCGGGAGAGCTCTGAAGAATACATAAGTATATGAAATCCATGTAACGTGTCGAATCATATGTCACAGATTTCCTGTCTCTCCTCCCTTTGCACTGCAAATGCCCATGGAGAAAAGTGACTAAGTAGGTGTATTATGGTCTTAAAAACTTCCTGGTATGTGGTAATCTCTCCCTCTGTTTTCTGGCTTTGCCCACTTGTGTGGTTTTAGATTGCAGTCTAAGAAAGTTTTTATAACATTTTTTTCTGCCAACTTTGGCACAGTGCTCCCTTATCCTGACTGCAGCTTTGATACAGTACCAATGAACATTAACACTGTCCTCTTTATAGATTGCTTCCTAAGTCTCACTTGTGCAGTTAGACAAGCAGAAGAGCAAGAATGGGGTCAGCAATAAGACAGGATTACTGTCCTTAGGCATAGAAGGTGGAGCAAGACTGATCCAAACCTGGGTTTTGAGCTTGGCAGCTCAGAACACCAACCCAAGGCACTGGCATCTGAGAGGTGGAGCACAGTAACTGCCCCATCATCGCTTACATGCTCCAGCTGCAGGGTTATAAACCACTGTGATGTGCCTTCAGAGACCACTGGGGATATGGTTTTGGCTGCTGAGGACCACGTGCTGCTCAGTATGCCTACAAGTACCAACAGGCCATGAACGCACACTTCGCCGTGGCTTCCTGCCACTTACATCTTAACTGCCTCTCCTCATCCAGCTCCCCACGCCAGCACATCTGCTCATTCTGCAATCTGTACACCCCACGTAGAGAAGTGAATGACTCAGGGATACTAACTAATAGCTCTAATGTCAGTGCAGTGAGTACAGGCCTTCTCTGCAATTATTCCAATCACTGCGTTTAGTTCCCTGCCCCTTTCTTCAATCCCTGTGTCACAGTATCAGACTTGAATAACAACATGAATTAGCACCATGACAGATTTTTATGTTCTACTGTATCTTGAGGGTCAACAGTCATTATTACTTTCTTAACTAAGAAGCATTAACCCACGACAAGATAAGAGTCTATCAACAGGGCTGTGAGGTGGAGAACTATCTGTAGTCATACAATTGCTGCTGTAAATGATTACTACTCCCCACTCTAAAATGCAGTACACCTTCTGCCTTTTGAACAGAACAAGAGGCTGCCACGCAGGAACGGGAATTTAGACATTGCCTTGGGACTCTCAGTGGCTGAGGCACTACTCAGTTGTCACAATGATCTTGAGAGACTCCAAGCACACACGTTACAAGGCAATGCACCCAAATGACTCTCTCAAAAAGGAGCACTGATGATTGGCAGAGTACATCACTGGCAGGGTTCATCCAGCACTTCCAATGCCACCTCCCTGGAGGGGTTTGGAGAGCCTCCTTCTTCCCTCTAAATGGTACCAACTTTGTCCTATGTTTGTTTTAAAAGTGTAATTTTGGGGGTGGGGGAATTCAAACTAGATACTAGTGGCTGCTGGTGGGAACAGGATGAAAATTAATGCTGTGCTGAAGGAAAGAAAAGCCATGAAAAGCTTCAGCAGAAGCCTTTAGCATTTCAACTTTTACTGTACCAGTGTATTTACACTGTCTCCTCTTTTGCACAGTTGGTGTAGTCAGTGACACTACAAGGTTTTAGGACATGTAACATTTTCTACAAATATGAAGGGGGATTTCATAATACCATGAAAGGACTGGACTTTACAATAGAACAAGAACATTCAGCTGGGCATGGATTTGCTGCAGAGGACAGGAGCAATTTAGCTCCTCTCCCTCCATTAGCAGCAACATGAAGTTGTGCAGCTCCCACAAACACAGGTCTGGATCCAGTTTTGCGTGTTCAATAAGTAAAAGTCAGTCTCACTAACACACACACACAAATAATGGATTTTGTAAAGCTTTTTACAAAAATAAGCAGTTTACCTCCTTCTCTTTGAACTATGTGGTACAGATGAACCATTTGCAGGATACACTCCAGATCCTGATCCTGGTAGCCTTTCTCATGCATGTCTTCCACGGAGTCTGGATAGATGACCTGATCACGTAGCGTTCCAATGGACATGTAGGGCCTGCGAAACAATACAAAGAAACTGGTAATGCAGAGCTGGCTCCAGGTGAGTGCATCTTGCTGACAATCTGTGAGAACAGTATAATGCTTTAAGCACCTAAAATTGGATTTATCTGTGGGTGCATCGTGGGTGAATGTTTTCCTAAACTTACCTTAGGGACAACACGTTGTTTACATAACAGCAGATTACAACATAGCAACATGGGTATTACTACCACAAAAACAAAATGACAGAATAAATATCTACCTCAGAGCCCTTTTTGAAGGTTTTTACTTGCAATCAGGAGCTCCTTCTGAACCTCCACATTCCCTGACCTGGCAATCTCATCTGTCTTACTAAGATAAGCTGTCTCCACTTTGGAGCCAGGGCCCCAGTCACAGCCCAGTCCCTGGGCCATGGGCAGTTTTCGCGTTTTGGGCTGTGCACAGTCCCTGGTACAGCCCAGGCCCGAAAAATTCTCCTAGTCTCTAAACAAAGTCATCCTGAAGAACAGTTTTACTGCTATTTAGATGGTATCAGGCCAACCAGGCTAGGATAGCACAGGCACCCTAAGACACCAGCTGCCTCCCACCCATATATGACACCACTTGGTGAGCCTTGCTCAGAGGCCAACAGAGCACATGCAGGACCTCTGACACAGCTTTTGTAGTTTTCATTATTTCCTAATTAGTGAGGGAAAGAAATACACAAATGCCAACAATAAGTGTGAAAATAGCCCTATCTATTTCAAGTGATCCAAATCCAGCTTCAGTTTCCAAAGGCCAGGCCTGTTTGCACAAAACGTAAAGGCCCTGTGTTGGTAGTTCCCGTTTTGACCTGCCCCATCCCGTCACTAACACGGTCAGTGACTGTGGCACCATGCTGGACCATGTCACCATGTATCAACCATGTTGGTGCAGTGAGTGGCCTGGATACTTTGTGAGGACTCGCTACAAATCCTGGAGCTGATGTGCCTGAAGCAGTTGAAGTACTTCAGGGCAAAATTTGGGCTAGCCTAGGGAACTCTAATGCCTCCTGACAAAATGTTGGTATACATACTCTGAGGGATCATTTTAGCAATCAGGCCAAGGATTGCTGGCCCTGGCAGCAAGATGAGGTGGCACAGCAGAAGACTGCCCTTGCAGCTTCAATCAGCACTGAAAAGCAGTGGGCTGGAGATCATGGCAATGAGCTCTACAGGAAGCTCCGTCAGCCCTGAAGGAAAGGGCTCAGATGTCCACAGTCCTGGGAATTCACCTGAGCTCCACGTGCTGATACCAACTGGCTTGTAGAGTGGTTAGCCAGAGTACATAAAGAGCCTGAGACATGGGTATCTGACCATCTCTTCTCCTACAGTGTTCCAAGGATTTCTTGTGAAGGACAACTATTCATCCTGTCTCGGAAGCTGGAAACACTCCAGGAATGATTTGTAGGGTTTTGAGTTAAGAGGGGAAGGTCAGAGCTGAAGAACAGCCAGGCTTAAGACCCCATCCTGCTTTTGGTACCAGGAGTTAAACTAATGCCCTCGAGGTGCATCTGCCAAAATAACACTCGTCTTACTAAAGCTGTGGTGCCTGGAGATGACGACATGGAGGAGGAGATTGGGCCAGCAACGAGGAATCTTTCAGGCAGCTTGCTCTTGCCACAGAGAACAGAGATTGTTGTTTGTGCTGCAGACACAGTCTGTACCCACCTGTAGTCATGCTGCTTCCACCACCAGCTGGCTGAGGGTGGGAAGAGCAGGGAATCTGAACTGCTCGCAGACATATGATCATGTCTCTGCTGCAGGCAGGATGGAGCAAAACCAGAACCACAAGTCAGGTACTTCCTCTGGTGCTCCTCTTTGCTCTGTCTGTTCTGCTTTGGGGTTAGTGGGCTGCTGTACGAACACCAAGAGCAGTGAACCATTTGTATTAATGGAGACACTGCAAGACCTTAACTATAAACATGGAATTTCATGAAGTAACAGTACAATACTTTTCCACAGTGCTGTCCAAAAAAATCAACAAAAGTCTTTACTAATTGCACAGAATCCCAGAATCATTACTGTATGAAGAAATATGCATATGGAGAAATCACTTCATTTGCTCCAGATTGCTGTCATCTCTGGGACAGAAGACAGCAACTCCACCTCAGCTCAGAAAAGTTTAGATGAAGGATGTGCATAAGGCTGTATAATTTATGTGAAGCTGCAGGAGAGAGCAAGGAGGACAGAGTTACCTGTCATATAATTTGTCTGGGGATTAACACCTTACCCTGGTGAAGCATGACCCTATAATGGCTAGCAGCTGAGATTTAACCTCCAACACAAGCAGGAAGGCAGTGCTCAGAAGCACCACACTAGGACGCTCGCTCCCGTGCTGTTTATTGAGTCAGCAGCACCGCTTCCTGGTACAACTGGATTTTCCTTGTGGCCTCCCATCTAAACGCACCAGTACTACCAGGATCACTTCTCCCCACCTAGTCTGTAAAACTGAAAGAAAAGCCCAGCCTGCAGTGGAATAGCGAAATCCATCAATTACTAACTAAGTAAAAGAAAAATGGTTTGTGGCTATGGGTCTGTCCCTGGAAGTGGGAGAGCAAGATCTGCTTCCCCCATCTCAGAGGGAAGCACTCACATCCCTGAGGGCACAATTCATCTTGCTTGGCATCTAGTTCAGGGCTGCGACTCTTGACAACAAAGAGAGGCAGCTCTGCGGTTGATTTATCCCAATTATTTTAGGGTGGGGATGAATTTCATCCTGGGATTGTCTTTCTCCCTCAGTGGGGAGACAGTGCCCAGACAACTAGCTTAGGTAACTACGTCTAGTTAGATGAGGTTAATCTCATACCAAACCCAACTTCCCTGCCCATAACTTGAAGACAATAACCTCCTTACCTACCCATGGATGCCACAAAGACACCAAAGCCTGTTAAAAGTCAGATGTTATTATAATCGACTCTACACATGTGTGATAGCTACACATTAGGTAGCAGAAGTCTAAGAAACTGGATACAGAAGGAGTGAAGTCTTGTCTTTGCTCGTAAGCGCCTTGTTAAAGTATTGTCTTCATTAAATTTTTAGCAGTTGAAACAACAAAACCAGTCTTTTTGTCCTGAAGTTCTCCTCCAGTTTAATCACTGTTCATAATTGATTCCTTACAAAGTCTTCCCTTTCAGACAGTGTCTGGGTATCCAGCTCAAAGAAAGCATTCTTTAGACTCCAAAAGGCACTTCTGTGCTATGTGGGGTGATGTCTTTGACAGTAATAGCTCTGCAATTGCTATCTTTCTTTGCTCTCTGACAAGAGAGCTGGTTTTGAGAGAGGATTTAAGCCCAGTAACTCTTTTTTAGAACTTTGGTGTCAAAAGTTCAGAAAGCTGAGAAAATGTACAGATTTTTTCCTGGTTTTCTGGAATTTCAAGGTATTTATTGGAAGAGGCAATTCTAGATCCTACAAACGGACCTTCTTTAGCCAGTTTGATGGTTTTATTGCATCAAAAGTACCAGTTTGGTACACTTAAATTCCTAGTAACAAGCTGTCATTCCCAAGGGTTAGGAATTCTCCCTTGGAGCACAGGCTTGAAAGAAAGATAATCCCAACACACACTGCAATCTGAAGCCTGTAGTGTGAACGATTCCCCAGTGCCCCCTTAACACATGACATTGTGTATGACACTGGCAAAATACTAGAGAAATATAATAGGGAGGATGGAGATGTATTCAAAAGTATTTTGGTCTTCTATAAACTCTACTGACAAAACTTCTAACCTGTTCTGACATCCATAATGCTTCAAAGAATTATAGTAACTAATCAATATACACTTTGAAAGTCTATAAAGCAATCTGAATCGGTCCCAGACCTAATTATAAGCACCCTGAAATAAATAAGGGACTGAAAATACATCTCAATTAAGTGGCTGGCGTCAGAAGTTAAGGGATTAGTCCAATGTAAGTGCCCAAGGAACTGCTTCCAGGTACAGCCTGATGATCCTATCTTCCTTGGCACAGACCTTGATTAACATTTTCTCCATGGAAGGTGAAGTCTGAAAACATGAGGCTTGTGATTCTGGAACCCATCTCCATGTCACTAAATCAAGACCTAATTTGCCATTTTTGCCAAGTCTGTTTGCAGTTATTACTGCCCTGTTATTCTCACAGATGGGCAAAGTTATGTTGCAAAAGCTCTATCCTCTAGAAAACAACATGTAATACAGCTATAAATTCTTGGCTGACCTATCTTTTAAGTTTCTGTCTCTGTCTGACAAGGTCCCTCCTTAACATACCCAAGGAGGAGAGAGAAAGGGAAGCACTACTCCTGAGATTCTCCATTTCAGCTTGGATTTTCAAAGCAGATTGGGATGGTTTCAGAGTGCAGAGTAATACCTTTGACACCTAAAGTAAAACACACTCCAAATGTAGGCATACCTATTCAAGAAGATAACACTGGAGCCCAAGCTCCAGCCACGGAGATGCTTTCCTAGGAAACCTGAAAGATTGCGATGAGTCTGTGCTTGCACTGAAGGATCTTCAATCCAGAAAGCTAAGGGCACAGCTCACAGATATGCCCAAATGCTCTTGAAATCCCCAGAAGGTCCACTACAGCAGGGACAGTGAAAGAAACAGTTTTAAGTTCAACACAAACCATAGTGGCTACTAGAGATGCAAGACGAGGGGGTGTATATCAAGCTAACAGTTAGCAAACCTCTTCCAAGAGCTGGGTTCAGGCTAAGTTCTCAGTTTGCAGGGAATCGTTTTCCCATTTTTCTAGGCTAGCATCCAGGCTGAAGAGGAGTCAAAGACAGGGCACCTTCTCATCTTCCCAATGAAGCAAGGAAATTGCTTCTAAGAGGCAGCAATCATGTGTCCAAAGAGAAAATTATTGGAAAGAGCCTAATTATATACTACAATGGTCAGAGGCCACAACTGGAAAGAGGGAGACTTTAGTACCAACCCCCATGAGAAACATCATCTACGTTGTTCCTTTTGTGTTCAGTGCTCTTTAATATGAAATGCAGTAAATGTCCCACTCCTTCAGTAGC